TAACTGTATACCTCTATCGACCAGAACCACAGGAATGCGTCGAATCAGGCGCAGCACACCCGCAGATCCATCACAAGACGCAATACCGCAAGTAGCAGTAAGCATCAATGCAACTATCATACGGGTGGCGCCCCCTCACAACACACCCACATGACTCCTATCGATTTTGGCAACAAAGTTTTTATTGTTGTTATATAAAAAATATCACCAACGTATATCATAGTAGCACGCTACTAAGACGCCAATGAACAAAACTCCACGTGTCATAGCGTTAATGCAATAAGACATGAAGTTGAGTATGCCTGTTACACTTAAAAGTGCTACCAAACACACTCATCATCCCAATCCGAAAGACAGACGACGCATCGCTATGCGCTACGACGTCGCCCACAAACGGTATGGGTGTGCGATGTCCACGGGAAAGCCGTATTGCTACAACAAACCCGCCTACCATCGGCACTTAGATGTTAATTGTATACCTACATCGACCAAAACCACAGGAATGCGTCGAATCAGGCGCAGCACACCCGCAGATCCATCACAAGACGCAATACCGCAAGTAGCAGTAAGCATCAATGCAACTATCATACGGGTGGCGCCCCCCTCACAACACACCCACATGACTCCTATCGATTTTGGCAACAAAGTTTTTATTGTTGTTATATAAAAAATATCACCAACGTATCATAGTAGCACGCTACTAAGACGCCAATGAACAAAACTCCACGTATCATAGCGTTAATGCATTAAGACATGAAGTTGAATATGCCTGCTACACTTAAAAGTTCTACCAAACACACTCATCATCCCAATCCGAATGATAGACGACACATCGCTATGCGCAACGACGTCGCCCACAAACGGTATGGGTGTGCGATGTCCACGGTAAAGCCGTATTGCTACAACAAACCCGCTTACCATCGGCACTAAGATGTTAACTGTATACCTCCATCGACCAGAACCACAGGAATGCGTCGAATCAGGCGCAGCACACCCGCAGATCCATCACAAGACGCAATACCGCAAGTAGCAGTAAGCATCAATGCAACTATCATACGGGTGGCGCCCCCTCACAACACACCCACATGACTCCTATCGATTTTGGCAACAAAGTTTTTATTGTTGTTATATAAAAAATATCACCAACGTATATCATAGTAGCACGCTACTAAGACGCCAATGAACAAAACTCCACGTATCATAGCGTTAATGCAATAAGACATGAAGTTGAGTATGCCTGTTACACTTAAAAGTGCTACCAAACACACTCATCATCCCAATCCGAAAGACAGACGACTCATCGCTATGCGCTACGACGTCGCCCACAAACGGTATGGGTGTGCGATGTCCACGGGAAAGCCGTATTGCCGCTTACCATCGGCACTTAGATGTTACTTGTATACCTACATCGACCGGAACCACAGGAATGCATCGAATCAGGCGCAGCACACCCGCAGATCCATCACAAGACGCAATACCGCAAGTAGCAGTAAGCATCAATGCAACTATAATACGGATGGCGCACCCTCACAACACACCCACATGATCCCTATCGACTTTGGTAACAAATTTTGTATTGTTGTTATATAAAAAATATCACCAACGTATCATAGTAGCACGCTACCAAGACGCTAATGAACAAAACTCCACATATCATAGCGCTAATGCACTAAGACATGAAGTTAGTATGCCTGTTACACTTAAAAGTGCTACCAAACACACTCATCATCCCAATCCGAAAGACAGACGACGCATCGCTATGCGCTACGACGTCGCCCACAAACGGTATGGGTGTGCGATGTCCACGGGAAAGCCGTATTGCTACAACAAACCCGCTTACCACCAGCACTAAGATGATAGGTCTAGGACACATCGGTTAGCGAGTCCAAGTTTACCTCGGAGCAATTGCTCGTGAAGCAGCATACACGCCACCACAATATTCCTTTTCAAGTCCCTAATAAGGACTAGTCATTTTGCTACAGTACTAGGAGCAGTCAGTCACCCGACCACCCCATACAATGCATATGCATAAAGGAGACCTCCTATAATAATGCTTTTGTATCATAGACCTTACTTTCATAAGTCATTAATATATAGCGAACCCACGACCCTACTATTGTAATGCATATTAATCATAGAGACCTTCTATAATATTGCTTTTGGATCATAGACCTTACTTTCATAAGTCATTAATATATAGGGTTCGAACCCACGACCCTACTATTGTAATGCAAATTCATCATGGAGACCTTCTTTAGTATTGCTTTTGTATCATTGAGTTTAATATCGTAAGTCCCTAATATAGGACTAGTCATTGTGCTACAGTACTTCAGGCAGTCGGGCTCCCGACCACCCCATATATATGTACAACTGCAGGTATGTACCTCCGGCAGCTTCCTCCATACAAGACGTCTATACGTGAACACCTTCCATAACTTAGGAAAATTTTCTTTAATACATGAACTCCTTCAACAACTTAAGAAATTTCATCTATACGTGAACTCCTTCCACAACTTCGAAAAATTTTCTTTTATACACGAACACCTCCCATGACTTAAACAATTTTTAACAAATTTTCTAATTATCTTATAAACGTTATTTAACTTAATTTTATAATATTTTTTGACTTGTATTTCTATTATTTATCTTATTTTAAATATTTTTTCAAGTTTTTTAAATAAATTTATTTATTACGAAAAACAATAATTTTGCCTTTAATTTACTATGTTATTGGGATAATGTCTGAAATATATTAACTTTATGTTTATTAATTTAACTTAATTGCTTAATATATATCTTGTAAGACTATTTTTGACGCCCCTTTATATTGAATTTAATTATTAATAATAATATTGGGCCGTCACATTATCATACAATAAGAGTACAGCCTCCTCTAAAGTACCAATTCTAAGACAGTTGGAACAGTCCGTACTATCAAGTTGTTGGCATATTTTAGTATAGTCTGCTAAATTATACAGGAATGGTTTGCGATGAAAGCATATGCTGGTGGATGAAATCAACAGATGTACATAATGCCACGTGATGATGATCTACCGACACCAAAGGGTCTAGACATTTATGTACATCTATAAAGTTATTGCAGAAAATTAAATCCAGAATTCTGTTGTTACAGTTTAGTTGACTATTATACTGAGATAAGGAGCATAAATTGAGAGTATCAAAAAAGTCCGACTGAATGGGACCTTGAATATTAGAGGGGCATTGAGATTGCCCATCGTCAGCTGGCTGCCATATTATATTCGGCAAATTAAAATCGCCTAGAATTAAAAAACCGTCTGTCAAATTATTTAACACAGTCTCATTTAATTTAGTGTAGAAACATTTTAATTGCTGTAATAAAGAATTACCTGAGTTTTCATAGCACATATAAACAACACAAATATTTAATTTGCAACACATATTAGTCGATGCACGCTTTAGGGCCAGAGTAATCCATATATCCTCCGCTGATGAACGCCATTCACTGCGTTCAAAAACTGTAAGCTCTCGTCGAACAGCAATAAGAACACCACCCCCCCATACTTTGACCTGTATCAGAATAATTCCTATCACGCCTCCAAACTAGGTATCGGTTATCAAATAATTCAGTGTCGTTGAAGTCCTCATTAAGCCACGTTTCCGTTAAGCATATTAAGTCGTAATTATTCATAACGATATTCCTATATAAAGTTGCTACTTTAGTCCATAAGCCCCAGACGTTTTGATAGTATATATTATATTTCTTGAGGTAAATGTTTTCGCAACAGGATAAACACTAATCTAACTTGATATGTAATAGTAGCAATTACAAATAATTTACTTTGAGGCATATTAGAAAATAATTTCCTATTAATTAGTAAAATGCATAAATATTTCATGATATACACGTACAAGTGAGACACAAAAGTATAAGCAATGGCGCGCAAGCAGTGAAGTAGGTATTTTTGTGGAGTAATAACAATTATTCTCTTACATTCCAAAAATAACGCGAAAATATGACATGTATATAACTTACAGTAAATGTATCCGGTGTATCCTGAGCGACAGATCAAATGATTACGGAATACAGTTAACACGGTGCGAGAGTTGCAGTAGGTTAATATAGGTGTTATTAATTTTGTGAATAATACGCCAAGTACACATAAGTAATTCCAACATTCGTACAAATAATAGTAAATAATTACTTGTAATCTATAAAATAAATAACATAGCACAAATATAACAAAACATCTATGATAAGCAAAAGAAAAATTAAAAAAGGGTATGCATAATGCATTGGAGTAAGATCGGTGATGGGGTAAGACCGTAAAATTCAAATTTCCGGTGAATTATGCTATATTTTTGAAAGCTAGCAATATGGTACAAGACTCCATTTTATTCTGCCCCGACCCCAAGTTTCAGCCAGTCGCTCCGAAAAGTAGGGCGTGTGCTGCGCAGTATTTTATAAAACTAGGTAAATTTTGAATTTTTTTGTCTGTCCGGTCTTTCCCTATCACTTTTATTTGCGATTTTTAGCGACGTCCGGTCTTCCCCTTGATGGCCAATTCTTCATCATGCATATAAAAAATTATGCCTTGTCTTCGCACACGTTTTAAGCAGAAACTGTTGAGTTTTGAAAAGTAAAAGCTTCTTATAGCTAAATTACGTGTAACCATTAACGATTTACGCCATGTTTCAGAAATCTGACGTATATGGATGTCGAGAAAATAAAGTTTTTGCCAGACTCTTTTAACTAGTCGAAAATCCGTCCGGTATTGCCCCAACGCACCTTATTATAAAATCTGAGCCTGTGAGATTCGATATGCAAAACGTTACTTTAAGCACAACAGCATAATGAGCAAAATAGAGATAATATTAACAAACACAGATAGCAAGAACTTGCCCTTTTGATAAGCGAACAATAGCGAGGTGCGAGTAAACAATTAATGAATAGACGATTCCAACGCTTCTCAAACTTTGCGTATGCACAGAAAGTAAACTGAACAATAACTTGAGAAATCCTAAACAATTTTTCTTAAATCCAACTCCGTTTTTATTATATGAACAGGTGATGTGTTTTTCCGTACAAGGATTTTGCAGTTCTTCACCCAAACGTACGAAAAATCCCGCTCCTTAGCCAAAGCCTTTGTTTTGTTTAATAACAATTTGTTTTTAACCGTTAAATGGTCGTTGATAAAAATTCTATTAGTACCGTTAAGACCTATATCCAACGGCGTAAGGGATTTACATTTTCTCGCTGCTGCGACAAAGTTGTCTCTGAGGTATCGATTGTGCAAAGATACGATTATGCTTTTATTGTTTTTATCGTTGCGGGAAGGAACTCTAGCAATGTAATTAATGTTGTTATCGCTAATATTGAAGTCAATTTTGGTTGCTATTTTAGATAAAATGGTAAATAGATTTTCCGTGTCAGTTATAGGAACTCCTTTGATTTCGATATTGTTCAATCGTGACCGCTGCTCCCCATCATTGAAGACAGCTTCCAATTTTTGCAACCGCTGTTCTAGGCGGGTTACATCTTCTTTGTTCTTCTGAAGTGTTTGAATTTCACAATCTACCTCGGCTATTCTAGTTATAAGCGTGTCAACCGAAGCGTGAACGTAGTCCAGCAAATCTTTCACAACCGACAACTCACATTTAATAGTTTTAAGATAGGCCAAATCAGCCTGAATATTTTTTACCGAATCTAGTAACTTAGGCAATGATGACATTTGTTCAGAGAGTCCACGTAACTCACCACGAATACCGTCGAGATCACTTGGAGTGCAAAAATTGGAACGACCAGGAACTGGACACGTTGCTTTCCTATCGCCAAGTTTTCGAAAACCAATCTCGGTTATTCCAGCACACGGAAAGTCGTATTGCTTCAAACACAGAGTACACTGAACACCATCTCTAGCTTCCATCTTACAACGGCGGCAAGTGAACATTTTATTAAAAAGAAACGTTTGAGTATCGTAGACAGTTGCAACCTGCAATAGCGCGAGACAATATTGAACGAGTGTACGTGCGTACTATACTATATCCATTGCAATAAGGATGTATTCTAATTTTAATAGCCTTACGTATTATCCTAGGTAGTTCTTTCTTTAGAATTAGTGGTTTATGAAATCTAATGTAATGACCTCACCATTCTAGATGTGATCACCCCATCGCCGTCTTAATCGCTGTCTAAGATGTGCCAACAGATTGTAGTCTTCCCGAAGCGTTGATGTTTCTTCTTCTGTTCGTCTTCTGACATGTGCCTCTACTTAAAAGTGGAGTATTGAGTTCATCCACTTTTCCTGCTACCAGAGCGATGCCGCTTAGGAAACTTAGACTTTTTGAAAAAATCTAAATGTTTACAAAATAAATAGTCTTTGATTATCATAAATCCAAAAAAAACTCAACATTAAAAGATCCAGGCGAAGCCGCGGCGGGTTGCCAATCTATAAGTAGGTCCCAAGCGCCTCAACGAAGAGCTTTATTGTATAAAAACTATCGATCTGGTTTGGTAATGTCTAGGTTCTACAACAGCGCCACCTACCGGGTCCAACTACGCCTATAACCTTCACGCAAGTGCAAGCAATAAGTTGACAAAGTTTTAGCGCAATCTAGTGAACGGTACGGCAGTGCAAAAACGAGAACAACTATTTGTATGGCCTACAAACAATTATTCCGAGTCTGGATGTTTTTCTTTGTACGATTAATAAATAAAAATTGATAATTGATAGGATCAAGCGTTACTTTGCGGAAATTCATTATAATAAAGATGTTAATATTTAATTCGCAACCATCCGCTCAATTAAATACAATGATGTGTCTTACCTGGATTGAAGAGCACCTCCCGCCCTCCCTCAATTGCGTGCACTAATCTTGTCACCACTAGTCCCAGCACCACTACTCCCAACACCACTACTCCCGGCACCACTACTCTCAACACCACTATTCCAGGAAAGACACTCCATAACACACACCGCTAACCTAGCTGTCAGCTGCCGTAGAGTCTACATCACCTGAAGACTTCTCGTGTAGAGGCGAAACACGTGTCGTCTTATCGTCGATGGTTTGTCTTTAGTGTAGTCCTGATGAACATACACACCCAAGGAACCACCTCTTCTCTGAACGTGAGTACTCAGATTGCCCCGCATATTCTGGAGAGGGGGGTGGGTGTGAAACTCCGTTCGTAACTAAAACTGGGCAAGCGATTCCACGAATCCATGAATTTGCGCAACATCACACAACTTAACGCAGTCCACTTCCATCTGGAGACAGCAAAACCGGCCTTGCTCCGACCGAAATACAGGTCTCCTACCCTGGGCACAAATTAGAACACTCTTTTGTGCCCCGAACTGGAGTTTGCGTACTATACGTCAGAGTGTACATCTGTTTTTAACGCCTCGACTAACAACCCGCTCGCCAAGCCTGCCAACAGTGGAAAACTCTCCCCTATGAGGTAATCAATGGGGGGGACTATGTTTAACAGTGGACTTTTATAAGCTGCTTCATCTTAGCTTTCCTGCTTCATTGTAGTACAAGAAGAAATAATCTCTTTAGTTGTGAGAATGATCTTTCTGACAAATAAATATGCCCGTTCTGCGATCATGCCCTAGACCAGGTGTGGCGAACCTTTGTTGTATCAACGTGCCATTTTTCTTAGGAAATGTTTAATCAGGTAATAGACGTGCCGTAAAATAATTTTGTCTTCGTGATTATTGGAAAAATAAGAGTACTAAATACTATCAATTCAAAACTGTTTATTTAGGTACTACAAAAAATAAATAAAGAGTTTTGAGATGAAACATTTATTATTTATAATACATGTGAATTTTAACACAAATTAACTTTTAAATACAGGTATGTCAACCAATTAACTATTATGTTATGCGTAAACGAACTATGAATTTCTTGAGGGGGGGGGTCGTGGACTTGTGAAGGTCTGATGTGAATGGTGATGATGATGATGTAACGAACTATGCGTCATTAGCAAAAGTAGTTCACGAAGTAACTAGTCTCTATACAATTCGATTTTGAAGACTGTTACTTTTTTAAACAATATTATATCAGAAATAAGGAAACATTTTTTTGTATTTCATCGAAACCTGGTAAACGTAGCTGGTACGAAAAATAGCACAATAACGTAGCTTGCTTAAAAAGACTATTTGAAAATGTATTCATGTGGCGTCTATTCACAAAAAAAGATATTGTAAAATATTCGTGAAAATTCTCCGTGAGATGTTGTTAAGAAACCAATTTTCTCCACGCGATCGCGTTTCGCTTAGGGTTGTCCAACATTCATTTATATTATCTAATATATAAAAAATTCCTAGTGTAGTGGTGCTGGAAATAATGGTGGAGGGGACAGTCACAGATATCGTAATAATAAGACAATAGAAGTCGCATAGACGCGTGACCTTGTCGCCGCTATGATGTGTTGACGAACATCATTCCACCATTTTGTGATTTATTTGCGCGGGGAACGTCGTACGTGAATTTATGTTATTATAAATTAATAATGGTGAACTGCAGCATAATCAGTTGTAAAAACTCATCAAGGGCGTGTTAATTCAACTAATAAAGGCATAACATTTCATTGGTAAGTTGATTATTTACTAATTATCATTGTTTTTACTAATTTACATCTAGATGAATACTTTACTATGATATTTACCTTTGTAAACTTTCATTTATTACTTTTGGTATTGTACAATTACCATTGCTGCTTTGTTCTTCCGTAATACGCGACGCACGCGACGTTGACAAACTCGCCAAGCAATGTAATATGAAACATTAGATATCATTGTGTATTGCGTATGTTTATAATACGGTAAGATGTGGTGACAACGATTTTGGAAGTAATCGAGCGCTAATTCATTTCTATTGTCATATTATTACTATTTCTGTGGGGACAGTGCATGCAATGGAGGGAATGCGGGAAGTGCTCGTCAAACTAGGAAAGACATCGTTATTATTTTTAACGTGGATCTTAGCTAAATAATTTTAACATATTTATTACTTTTAATTGTATGTAACGGCTATTTTGTTCAACTTGCCACTTTGAACTCTAATAGTCTAGTAAGTTAGAATTCTAAATCCAAATAAATTTTATTTTTAGGTCGTTTCATTCCTTTTTCAAAATCTTGTTCATTCGTTCCTTTGGATTTTATTTTTATATATTTATAACCATAGACTCTAAGAAAACCAGCTATTTCTATTCATATAAATTAAATTATAAATTCACGGTATAATGGCGGTGTTACACCCGCACTACCACATATCATCCCGTGGATGTCTTAAGAGGTGACAGAAGGAAAAAATCAGGAGATTGGCAGCAGCGTCTTCCTAATAACGACTGAAATTATCTGCGGTTGCCAACCCGCTTGCCGAGCGTGGCAACTATGGCAAATATCCCCCTATGAGGCGCTCTTTACTTTAAGGTGCGTGTTTGATTAAAATACGGCTAGTAGTTATTTGTGAGGTTTTTACTTGTTATTGAAAAGATATATCATCTAATAAAAACTTTGTTAAATTTCTACATAATCTTGATTCCATAATAACCAATTCCAATTTTTTTAAAGGAGTAAATACTTGATGAATCTCCCTACAATTAAACCACAGAAATGCGAAATAATTATTCATAACATGCATCTCCTCCTAAAGTCAGCATTCATTTATTTTGCAAATGACACGAATCGATAGGCAATTTATTAATGAACATTTTGATCTCTTTAATTGTTACAAAGGACTAAATTTCGATTTTTTAAAGAAAATATTTAAAAACTTGGGCGTATTTCTTACGCGATATATTGTAGCGGGAGCGAATGTATACACGGGGTAATCTGTGCGTGTATAGGACCGAACGCTCAAGGTCGTTCGCTTGGAGTAGCGCCCTAGGGGTACACTAGCCACTCATTCTTCCATACAAACGTAGTCTGGCGATTACTCCACTGTTTGATGATGTACGTACAAAATAAAAAATGATTTCAATTTGTCTCATCATTATCTAGCCCTGTATGGAAACAAAAAAGTAAAAAAATAATATATTTAAAAGTAGTAATTTTAACACATCTTTAGGCGGAAATAAATATCATTAGAAGAAAGAAAATTGCAAAACAGTTACCATACAGGGATAGATTATTTTGAACAGACACATTCAATAATTTTTTCATGACATCCAGATTTCCAAAAGTTTGTTTATAAAATTTCACGCGCTCGTTTTGTTGTAAATCATCATCGTCGCCTGAGATAGCATGCATTTTAACCCCGCCCACCACTTAGTTCGTGCCATCGACTAGGGCCACCTTAATAGGCTGAAACGGTAGCGGTTAATAAAATTGAAGTGTCTCTCTGAAATATCGAAATAACTGCCTTATATTAAGCTAAGGGATCATTGGCGTGCCATTGAGACATTAATTACCATTTTTAAAGTCTATCTGTCAGGGCTAGTTCTCTAAAAACTTTTATAGACTGTAGCCCGCCAATGCATAGCTTACAGATTACATCATCATAAAAGACGACATGGCAACAAATATTAATAACGGTATAGTATCAAATTTATGCTTATAATATCATAGCGTGACTTGGCACAACCCTACTTTTTCTCAGCCTCGACTATTTCCGATATTGTTATTATAAATATATTTATAATAAAAACGAAGAAGAGGTTTCTCCGCGTGAAAGATTCCGTAGCGTAGATATAGGTAATAGAACCTGAGTGAATAAGCATAGCTCGACAGATCAGAAACTGGAAGTCATGAGTGGGCCGGCCAAACCGACAGCTGATAATAAATGTTCTCGAGTAGTTTTTTTTTTATTGCAGAGGGGGCAAACGAGCTTACGGTTCCTCCCGCCGCAACACCAGGGAAATAATGCAGGTGCGTTGCCGGCCTTTTAGAAAGGAGTAAGCTCTTTTACTCTTTTCTTGAAG